TTAATCCAGAATCGTTTGCTGTGAATTGTTTATGTCTATTGCCATGCCCAGAGTTAAGGATTGTCATTCCATAAGAACCTATAGAGTGAAATTGTATTGAGTGATTTAAGTGAACAGAGCATTGACAAGGGCAGAAGTGCATGGACATTCTTCATCTCTCCCCTCGACTGCAGAAGTCACACCTTCTGTCCATGGTGACACTCCTCTGCCCCCCAGTGCTGGGCATCAAACCCAGGGCCTCACATGCGAGGCAGCTCCTCTACCACTGGGCTCCCTCCCCAGCCCTAAAAGTTCCTCTTCGTTTTAATGATATAGGCAGAACTTCCTTATTTTAACAAGTCCAGACAACACAGGAGTGCAGAGGAAACACCCCCACGTCCTCAATGACTCGCTCCTTCCCCTGCGCCCACTCCCGGGGGGGTCCCGTCTGTGAGCAGTTTGGTGTGTCCTTGCAGAGCACACCTGGGCATGGACCCCATGGAGAGCCACTTGTACCTCTGAACAAAGAGGGAACTGGACCAAATTCACTGTGCGGCAACTTGCTACTTCCACCTGACGTCAGGGGCTTAGTCCCTGTGGCTTCACAAGCTGGACTCATTTTCCAGTGGACGAGAAGCACTTGTGCGGTCCTCCGAGTGTGTCTGCAGCAACTGCTGCCAGTCCAGGCCCCAGAGCTGGGCCTTCAGTGTTGGCAGTTTCCCCTGCATATAGTGTTGAAGGCTGAAATTTCTTAGTTTTTCTTCCCCACTCAACATGAGAAGGAAATGAGCTAGGTATGTTTTGGAGTGTGCTGGCCTGCAGGGCTGTCCCCGGGGCTCCTGTAGAGGTGGCCCCAGGAGCTCTGGCGGCCCTGGCCAGGGGGCTGGGCAGACCAGGAATCAGGGTTGGAACTCAACCACCTTAGAAGTGAGCATGCTCCCCACTCGTCCAGAGGAGGGCTGCAGAGGTGGGACCCCTGGGCAGCCTGGAGTCACCCTGCGGTGTGCAGGGGCCAGTACATCAGTAAACAAAGCTCTATCTTCTGGAAAAGCCATTTATCCTGTGCAGTAAGAGCTACAGAGGAATGCACAGCCTTTAAGTCTGTACTTCTGCTTAGGGAGATTGATCTTGAGAAGAAAGAATTGGACACGAGTAAATAGCTCCGTGCACAACGAGATTCGTGCAGTGTTGTCTGCTGTTACAACGCAGAACACCCCAGGGGCCACCTCAAGGCCTCCAGTGGGAAATGATTCAAGCCACTTTGGCTCATCCAATTGGAGGACGGCTACGTCATTATCAAGGTGATTGTGGCTATGATTTGAAGCAAGGGAGGCTCAGGTGAGGGGAAAGTGAAAGCCACCCACAGTAGGGAGGCCAGGGCAGGGCACGTTTGGTGGTTAACAAAGTGCTGGGTCATGGCCTTCTAGAAACATCCATGAGCTGCATGTTGGATAAAATTGATCCATTAATCGTTCATAATGAGTGAAAAACTATCATGAAACAGTACATTTTAGTTGTTTTTCAAAACAGGATAAATATACATGGAAACTCCTGGGAAGCTTCACGTCCAGATTTAAGCTGGGGGCATTTGCTGGCTGCTGGGGGCATTTGCTGGCTGCTGTGGCTACTGGTGACCACCGCAGTCCCCGTCCGGGTAGTCTGGGGCTTTGCCAAGAGCCTAAGCTATTTTCAAGCTCAGAATAACAAACGTCTTCATTTGTGAAACAGAGCTGTCTATGTTATTGTCTTGGCCAGCTGCTGGGCCTCGCTCAGAGTCCACACTTGACAAATCATCAGAGCTGCTACAGCACGCTGATGTACAGAGCGCATTCTAATCTGGACCTAGCAAAACAATAACAAAAGGACCAAACGTGCCAATCAGAGCGTTTCCACGTTGCCCTGTACACAGGAAACCTATTCATTCGTTCTGAGCAGGGGAGACTGACCTGTGCAGTGGGAAAACTGGGGTGCACTGCTGCCCCCTTTTGCCTTTCCAACCCATGCTTCCTCAAGATCTTGCGTCCCCAGGAGGGTCCTGCAGGCCCCCAGCAGGCAGGATGGCTTGACTGCCAGAACCTGGCTCCCTCCTGGCAACGGCAGGCAGCCGTGGGAGCAGAGACTGCTGGGTGCCAGCCGATCCGGGGCCAGAAGCCCTCTTTGAGCCCCGTTGCCACGGGAACACGTGGGGCAGCTGGCAGGGTGCCTTTCCATTTCATTCCACTTGGAGCTTATCTGCTTTCATTTCCCTGCCGTCCCATCCTCCCCTCCCCTGGGGCTCAGTCCAGTGGTCAAGGCCTTTGTTTTGGGGTGAAAGCAGCGATCCCAGGTCTCCAGCCCTCTCCCGCCGGCTCTCTGCCTGAGCGGTGTTGGAGCCAGGGCAGCTGCGGCCAGAGAACCCTCTGAACCTCTGTCCTCTTGAAACAACCTCGAGAAACCCAGGGAGCTCAGAGTGGGCAGCCTGCTCAGGGGTGCCAGGGGACCATGCAGAGCCCCACTGTCCCCGGGCGGGCTCTGCTCTGGCTCCAGGCTCCAGGCTTGGAGCCCTGTGGGATGTGCTTGTGTGTGGGTGAACGTAGGTCAGCCTGTCAGGCGCATCTGCCACCCTGTGGGCGTCAGGTGGGCTCTGCCCCTCCTGGTGCCCTTGTTCTCCCCTCTGTGTCCCCATAAAGCAAAACCTTGGCCCTGGGCTGGGCCGACATCCACTGAAGGGGTCCCTCAGTGGATCAGCCCAGAGCTTAGTGCTGTGTGGGCTCACGAGGAAGGGCTGCTCAGCAAGGACACAGCCTCTCCCTGCAGACCAGGAAGGTGAAGCCGCGCTCCAAGGGCCCAGCACCCAGGGCCGGAGGTGCTACAAGACTCACTCATGATTACATGGACCCTTCCCTCCACCGCTCATGGCTCCTGCTCTGAGCCCACTATTCTAGAGAGCAGGGAGGGGCTGCTTTGGGGGGTACCCCAGGGGCTGTGGGCTCCAGCACCAGGTGGACTGGGCCCTGGGTTTGTTTTCCTAATGGGTTTGACCCCCTCTGGTTCCGGATTGGAGTCCCCGTATCTGCCTCACCTACTTGGGACGTGCCGGAACGGAGAGTTAAGGACTCTGTGCCTAGAAGGCTCACAGGCCCTGGGAAGGCGCCCCCTCAGGCTGTGGCGCTGGGAGCTCTAAGAATGCACTTCCTGCAGAGTGCGGAGGAGGTCGAAGGAGCCCAGGCACCTGCTGCAGCCTGACTGCCCTGAGGCTGTTGGCTGGGCTCTCGAGGAGACCTGCCAACCCATGATCCCTGCCCAAGGCCACCTGCCCTCACCTGGGCCAGGGGAAATGGGTGATGCCAAGGCTGGGTTGTGCCTTGGGCCTCAGACTGCCCAGCCGGGTCCTAGCCTCGCCGGCCCAGCTGTGCGCTGAGCAACTCCAGTCTCTTCCCAAGGCCACCCAGGAGGGACTCCCATCCCTGAGGAGCCTCTAGCATGGGGACAACAGAGACAAACCGCTAACTCGTATTTCCTGTGGTCACAAACTCCTTTACCTTGACATTCTCCAAATCAAACGGCACGAGACATTCCCAAGGCCAATCAGTCACCAGGTCAGTATGGTGACCGTGGTGGGTGTGATTCAGGAGGTGAGCTGCTCGGCGTCCTCCCCAAGAGGCCAGGTGCTGGCCGTGACAGGTCTCCTGCACCTGTTGCAGGTCTGCCCTCCTCACTGAGTGGGTGGCCCTCGGCCCCCTATGCTCGGGCATGGTTCTCAACACGTCAGGAGGCCCTGAGAAAAAGTGTGCCTTTGCCCAGGGCTGCTCCCCCGCTCACTGGTCCCTGTGAGGCCCCACAGCAGTTACTCAGAAGTCCATCTGAAGGACCCTCTGCCAAAGCCGTGGTCATAGTATGGCCTTCAGCTATTCCTCAGTGGCTCAGCCTCCTGGGTGGAGACCACGTGGGAGGTGAAGGGGTCCCTCAGTGGATCAGCCAGAGCCTTAGTGCTGTGTGGGCTCGGGCACGTGCTTGCCCGTCATTGCCACATTGTTACCGTGTGGCTCTGTCCTCAGGCCGTGCGTGGCTGGCCCATGCTTACGGTGACCACAGCTTTGGAGGAGGGTCCTTCTGATAGACTTTTGAGGAGGCACTGATGAACCTCAGGCATGTTTTGTCTGAACTACGGTTCACTGGTCCCCCCGGTGTCCCTCTGTCCGTGATGGCTGGTGCTCTCCCCATATTGTTCCCTGATGCCTGTGTTGTGGGGATGTCCCCTGGCCTGGGGATGAGGATGGGGACACCTAGATGTTGTGCCTGGTAAGCCAAATATCTGTGCATTCTTATTGTTCTTTTTCTTTAAAAATCGGCGTCCACACCTTTCAAGCCAAGTGGACTCCTGTGCACACTGGGTCTGCAGGAGGGTCCTCTTACGCGAAGTCACCTTCCCGCCTCTATCAGCCATGAACACCCTTTATGGTAGGAAAGCCTCGGGCTCCAACAGTAGGTCCCAGGAGAGTGGGGCTCCCTCCAGCCCGTGTGGCCAAAGCCGGAGCTGGAGCGAGTCACACGAGCCCTTCTTCTGGGGACACCAAGTCCACCGCCCCAGATAGGCTCTGCCTAGGCCCAGGCCAGCGGCCTGCAGCGCCCCCAGCGCGGACCTTACCTGCTGTTTCTGGCCGCCAGTTCTTCCCTCATCTTTTTGATGTCACTCTTGCATTTCTCGATCTCCAACACTTTCAGTCCTTCCACTAGTGACAAAGAGACACAGCAGGGGGTTACCGCAGAGAGACTGGGAGGACCTGGTAACACGGGGGCCCCGGGGAGGACGGGCTCTTGGCAGAGGCTCCCGCTCTGGCCCACTCTGCTGACAGTAGGATGGCCCCACCTGCCCGGCTCGGCCACAGGGACTCTGTCACCCCAGGCATGTTCCCGGCAAGCTGGAGCCACGCCTGTCTGTGCTGTATCTACAGCGTGGCAGCCCCACCCCCGCCCCATGTCCCCACCCTTGCCCACGTCCGCTCCTCTTCACTGCCTAGTGCCAGCTGAGGGTATGAGAGTCTTTTATTCCCCCAAAGAAGGAACGGGGACAGTGGCCCTGGGCACTGAAATGCAGCGGGGCCACGCTTCCTCGGCAAGCACTGAGACCTCATTAAGATAGAAGCTTCTCTTTAAGCTCCCAGAGCAGTTAACCAGGAGAAAACCTTGACCTCACCCAGACAGCCATCAAGAGGCCCAGCTAAGGGTTAGCAGAGCTGGGTCTGGGCGCTCCCAGCCCACTGCCCCCATGCTCCCCGCGTGGCCTGCAGGAGGCTTCCAGGGCAGAGTGGGCCTGGAGGAAGGAGAGGTCAGCTTTGTCACTTTGTAATCCCACCTCCGCCGTCAGGCTATCCTGCTCCCCATCAAGCTCGGCCCTGAGTAACCGCTAAAGGTAAAACAGGAACAGTTTCTGAAGGGAAAAGCAAAGGGAGGGGCTTCCTGGTGACCCTCCCACCAGGCCACCTGGGTCCAGAGGCAGCCTGGCCGCACTCAGGAACCTGATTCTTCTGCCCAAAGGGGCGAGCTCAGCTCTGGTCCTGGTGACGGGCTCCCGGGCCAGGGAAGCTTCTGTCCCCCTCTATACCACCACGGTGGGCAGACTGGGGACAGACACTCAGGTTGAGGCCATGCATGGAGCCAGGGTGGTGGCCACAGGAGCACTAGAGGCTGGACAGCCACACCACCCTTTGGAGGGATTCCTCCTGCTTTCTGCCTTGTGGGCCCCTTAAGAAGTTGCTGAATGTCACGGTCCTCTGCTGAGATGAGGTGGCCTCCCAGGGCCTTACAGACCTCAGTGTCCCCCCCTGCCCGCCTGTGGGCTCGCCATGAGGACACTGGCAGGACCAACAGTAGATCAGCATTGGCAGCAAGCAGCAGCTCCATCTTGCCAACACTTGAAAGGCAGAAAGTTCCGGAAAGTTAGTAGATCTAGGGGAGAGACAGGCCTGATGCAGCCAAACAGGGTAGCCCAGCGCACCACAGCCCGCGAGCGCTTGTTTATGAATTCATCACGTGTCTGGCACAGGAGGTCCAGGGTTGCTCAGATTAAATACCATCGTCTAAACACCAGGCTCCCTTCGGGAGAGTCCGCAGCTCCCCTCCATGGCTCATTTCAGCTCCAGGAGCAGGGCCGGGAAGGGGATGCACAGGCAGTGGCAGGAGGACACTGGAGTCGAGGCCAGACACAAATACTGTCCATCAGTTCCTCAAACTGCAGGCACAGGTTTGCAGAGACCAAGCATCCCAAAAGTAGAAGCTCCCCTCCCAGCACTCACAGGGCCCTGGAGTCCAGCCCAGAACTGGCCCATCATGTCCCCTGGCTGGCCTGGGCCCTCAGACAGGCTGACCAGCAGGCTTAGCAGGTCTGGAACCTTGGGCTGTCTTCTCAGACTTCAGAAGGGTTTCTGGGGCCTTCTGCAAGTCCCTGCCTCCCAAATTTTATTTTTAATCATTAGCACTGTTTTTTTTTTTTTAATTATCTGCTCTTTTTAGATATATCCTAAGAGAGATGCTGCCTCGGGGAAGGGCTTTGGTGCATACAAGGTCTGAGCAGGCAGTGAGGCTCTGCTGCTCTTCCTTCTCCCCCTGGCTGTTGGCGAGAGGCTGGTGGGGGCCTGGCGGACACAGAGCTAATGGGGCTGTTCGAGAAGGGGTTTGAGCAGAGCCCTTCAGCACTGTCCCCAGATCTGCCTGAAGTACTTCCCGCACGACAGAGAAAAGCAGGAGTCTTCTGGTGATCTGCATGGATTTTGCCCCAGGGGTCAGCTCGGACAGTGGCACAAGCTAGGTTTAGGTTTTGGTTCAAGCCCAGGCACCAGTAGGTAGGAGGGGCAGGGCGGGCCATGCTGAGCCCAGCGCACCAGAGCCTGCGAGTGCTTGTTTATGAATTCATCATTGATCTCAGAGAAGCCCTGACTCCCTGAAGAAGCCTAGACATTCACACACAAAAGGAGAAAAGCTGTAAAGTCAATTAGGAGAAATTGTTATTTGATTCAGAAGATTATGTGTTCAAGAAGGTCGAAGAGTAAGCAGGAGATTCCACTAGAACAGGTCCTGGGCAGTGGACTCCAGCAGATGCCCCCTGACTGAGAAGCAGAGGGCCGCCCTGCAGGCTGACAGAGCCATGTGCATAGCACACTTGAGTGCGTGCGTGCGTGTGTGTGTGTGTGTGAGAGAGAGAGAGTCACATGAGAGGGTCTACATGGAGCAGCATGCCAGTGGCCTTCTGGTCCAGCAGCTCAGGCCAGCTGGCTCCTAGCAGCTGTGCAGGGTCAGGACTGACTGGATGGAGCAGCTCCCTCGTGGCCAGCATGGGAGGTCAGCTGCAGGCCCCTTCTCCAAAGGACCTCCCTCTCCCTTCCTGATGTGGGCCTATGCTCATCTCTGGGTTCAGGCCTGTGTCTCTGGGCCTTCCCTCTGGGGCTCACACTCCCCAGGGCTCAGCACCAGTGGGCATCCCTGGCCACATCCACTGGAGGACAGGCCAGGAGACTGGGACTGGCCAGCCAGATGCACCAGGAGAAGGTGAGCCCAGAGCCAGGTGGGGTCCTCTGGGCGGAGAACCTGCGAGATCAGGGCTCTTCCAGGGTTCACCTGCATGGCGGAGGAGGGCGAGGAGCCAGGAGGATGGGGAGATGCCAGGAGGAGTGGGAGCAGGGGCTGGAGCTTCCACGCGGGGTGGGGGGAGAGAGGAGGCGGGGAAGGGTGGTGGTGCTGAGGAGCAGAGAAGCAGGGCGCCCGCTGTGGGGCATGTACAGGCCGAGCCAAGACTGGCTCTGTGCACCTGCAGGTGTGGGTGGTGACTCGGTGGCAAACCTTCCCTGCGCTCTTGGCTGAAAGCCCTTCCTGAGAGTCCCTGCTCAATGGGGCTGGTGGGAGGCTGAGCCGGCCTCGCGCTGTGAAGCTGGACATGCCCGAGGCTCACTGCGGAGGTTGCACCAGGCCCCTGGAACCTGCGAACATGACCTTGTTTGGGCAAAGGTCCTGGACAGGAGTAACCAGTTAGAGATACTGAGGTGAGACCATTGTGGATCCAGAGGTCCAGTGTCTGAGGGAGATTTGGGACACAGGGAGGATGTCAGGTGAAGACAGAGGCCAATGGCAGTGACGAGCATCCCAGCCAGGGAATGCCAGGGAGAGGCCGGGACACGGTCTCCCTCAGGGACCCTGAGGAGCCCACCCTGTTGACACCTTAACTTTGAACTTGGGGCCTGCAGCATCGTGAGAGAAGGCATTTCTGTTGTTCAGCCCCTACTTCGTGGAACTTTGTCAGGTGGCCCCAGGACGTGAACACAGTGGTTCTCTGGCTTCCCCTGCAGTTGAGGTGGGCACAGGGTCCAGCTCTGCAGGCTCTGAGTCTGTGCTTGGTGATGTGAAGAAGCAACCTGATGTCTGCAGGGGAGGCCGTCAGGACCCTGGAGACCCGGGGTCCAGGGCGAGGGTGCAGTGCCTGGGCTTGGGAATGGCAGCGCTGGCACCGAGAGCATCAGTGCTGTTCCACAGCACAGCCTGCAGCCCTGTGCCCAGCCTCCAGGCCAGCAGGGGCTGCCTGGAGTTCTTCCGGAAGAGTCGTGCTCTGCTTGAAGCAGCCCGTCGTGTCTCTGCCCTGGGTATGGGAACCCTCCTGGGGCTGTTCCTCTTCAGCTAGTGCTCGCCCCATCAGGCAGGGGCAGGAGTTGAGAGCAGCCTGGCCCGGACTCCCTGCCCTGGTCCCAGTCCTGTTGATCCGCACCTAACCCTTGTGGCATCCTCATCCTCCACGGGTTAAAGAAAACCGAAGGTCCAATGAGCAGGTGAGTTTTAAAACGCTAACACATTTTCTTTGAAAAGTTTGCACATGTCCATGGAGCTCATGATTCAACTTGTTTAGATGAATCAGTCCTGGTGTAGTGCTGATTTTTTCATTTTTTTAAAATTGTAAGCAATTCAAACATGATAGGAAAAGTGACATTCTGTCAATCTTACAAGCACAGATCTGCCAGATGTTTTGGGGAGCAAGCCAGGCCCCTAATGGCCTCTTGTTTGGATATTGTTTGCTTAATCCTGTTAATAAATAAATTGCCCATTAACCATTAACCTCCTCCGGGACACTGACAAAGCACCTCCCGTGCTGGGCTGTGAGCCGGATGCGGAACGTCAGGCGGGTGGAAGTCAAGCCCCGATCCTGCCATTATTGCCGAGGGTGCGAGACGTGGGCGACTCGAAGCTGTCTTCCTCCCAGAATGTGGAGTTCCGGTAACTGAATCAAGACTGGAATCAACTCTCCTTTGCTCACTTTGCTTTTCTGCTTTGCTTTTGTGATAATTGGAAACCAAGAGATAACAACTTTGTAGACCTATTCCAAAAAACCAGAGCGTGCGGGTGGGTGTGCCGAGAATGTCCTCATTCTGCTGAAGCCACAGGCGAGGCCTGAAGCAGAGGCTCCGGGGCCGAGTGTGAGGTGTCTTCCCTCTGCTCTGTGCGCAGAAGGCCTGTGTCCTGTGCCGCGGTGCTTTAAAGCAGGACTGACATGCTCAGATGGCTTACCCTTCCAGCCCTGGTGAGGTCACAGGAGCCCCAAGCATTTCATAAGGAAAACAGCCTCGCTTACCAGTGGCACTAACTTCACCCCGTCCAAGTGGTTAGCTCTAAGGGTAGTTAGAAGGCAGAAGCAGAAAGGAAACAACCCCACTCACATTCCACGCGTTTCTCCAGTACCGCCAGGTGGTCTGCAACTTCAGCTTTCAGTTCATTGATCTTAAATGCTCTAGAAATAAAATGGAAAAAAATACAAAACGTAACTCATAAAATCCTCAAAGCTAAACGTGGTCCAGCAAACTCTATGATCCCTGTCAGGGGCGAGGCCTCCAGGTGGCTGGTGTGGGGTGGAGACCAAGACACTCGGAGATGCTTTTAAGGAACTCAATGTCCCCAGGTGGTGGACTGACTTCCTCTGACCTGGGCAGTGAACAGAAGTTTACAAGGTCCTCAGGTCACCAAGCACCCCACCCACTGGGAACAGTCACCTTCAGGGGACTGGTGTAACCTCGGGAGGCCCTGACCAGTCAGTTCAATAATTCATGGGCTTTAAAATACACCGCCCGTCTGTCCTTTCCCCCATTTTAATCACTCTGGGATAGTAAGACACTGCAGAGAAATCAGTCTGAGAAACTAAACGCCCACTTAGAATTAGTGGGCAGCTCAGGATGAAGATGAAGCCCCCTCTAGGAGGACCTCAGTGAGGAAGCTCATTTTTAAAATGGTGCTTTAAAAAAAAAAGTACAGACTGTCTTCTAGTCCAGAAGAACCAGTCGAGAACATTCTCTGCAGTTGGAGCTCACATTCTAGAAGTGACCGTGGGACCTGGTCTTTGGGATAAGGTGAGCATTCCCGGGGTGTGCCAAGCTGCTTAGG